TGCCCTGTGTGTGATAGAGGGACAGGTTGCTGTGTGTGATAGAGGGACAGGTTGCTGTGTGTGTGACAGAGGGACAGGTTGCCCCATGTGAGATAGAGGGACAGGTTGCTGTGTGTGTGATAGAGGGACAGGTTGCCCTGTGTGTGATAGAGGGACAGGTTGCTGTGTGTGATAGAGGGACAGGTTGCTGTGTGTGTGATAGAGGGACAGGTTGCCCTGTGTGTGATAGAGGGACTGGTTGCTGTGTGTGATAGAGGGACAGGTTGCTGTGATTGTGACAGAGGGACAGGTTGCCCTGTGTGTGATAGAGGGACTGGTTGCTGTGATTGTGACAGAGGGACAGGTTGCCCTGTGTGTGATAGAGGGACAGGTTGCTGTGTGTGATAGAGGGACTGGTTGCTGTGTGTGTGACAGAGGGACAGGTTGCCCCGTGTGAGATAGAGGGACAGGTTGCCCCATGTGAGACAGAGGGAAAGGTTGCCCTGAGTGTGATAGAGGGACTGGTTGTTGTGTGTGATAGAGGGACTGGTTGCCCCGTGTGTGTCATAGAGGGACAGGTTGCTGTGTGTGATAGAGGGACAGGTTGCCCCGTGTGTCGTAGAAGGACAGGTTGCTGTGTATGTGATACAGGGACAGGTTGCTGTGTGTGACAGAGGGACAGGTTGCTGTGTGTGATAGAGGGACTGGTTGCTGTATGTGATAGAGGGACTGGTTGCTGTGTGTGATAGAGGGACTGGTTGCTGTATGTGATAGAGGGACTGGTTGCTGTGTGTGATAGAGGGACTGGTTGCTGTATGTGATACAGGGACAGGTTGCTGTGTGTGATAGAGGGACTGGTTGCTGTATGTGATACAGGGACTGGTTGCCCCGTGTGTGTGATAGAGGGACTGGTTGTTGTGTGTGATAGAGGGACTGGTTGCCCCGTGTGTGTGATAGAGGGACTGGTTGTTGTATGTGATAGAGGGACTGGTTGCCCCGTGTGTGTGATAGAGGGACTGGTTGCTGTATGTGATAGAGGGACTGGTTGCCCCGTGTGTGTGATAGAGGGACTGGTTGTTGTGTGTGATAGAGGGACTGGTTGCCCCGTGTGTGTCATAGAGGGACAGGTTGCTGTGTGTGACAGAGGGACAGGTTGCCCCGTGTGTGTCATAGAGGGACAGGTTGCTGTGTGTGACAGAGGGACAGGTTGCCCCGTGTGTCGTAGAAGGACAGGTTGCTGTGTATGTGATACAGGGACAGGTTGCTGTGTGTGACAGAGGGACAGGTTGCTGTGTATGTGATACAGGGACAGGTTGCTGTGTGTGACAGAGGGACAGGTTGCTGTGTATGTGATACAGGGACAGGTTGCTGTGTGTGACAGAGGGACAGTTTGCCCTGTGTGTGATAGAGGGACAGGTTGCTGTGTATGTGATACAGGGACAGGTTGCTGTGTGTGACAGAGGGACAGTTTGCCCTGTGTGTGATAGAGGGACAGGTTGCTGTGTATGTGATACAGGGACAGGTTGCTGTGTGTGACAGAGGGACAGTTTGCCCTGTGTGTGATAGAGGGACAGGTTGCTGTGTATGTGATACAGGGACAGGTTGCTGTGTGTGACAGAGGGACAGTTTGCCCTGTGTGTGATACAGGGACTGGTTGCTGTGTGTGATAGAGGGACAGGTTGCTGTGTGTGATAGAGGGACAGGTTGCTGTGTGTGATAGAGGGACAGGTTGCTGTGTGTGATAGAGGGACAGGTTGCTGTGATTGTGACAGAGGGACAGGTTGCCCTGTGTGTGATAGAGGGACTGGTTGCTGTGATTGTGACAGAGGGACAGGTTGCTGTGTGTGTGATAGAGGGACTGGTTGCTGTGATTGTGACAGAGGGACAGGTTGCCCTGTGTGTGATAGAGGGACAGGTTGCCCCGTGTGTCGTAGAAGGACAGGTTGCTGTATGTGATACAGGGACAGGTTGCTGTGTGTGACAGAGGGACAGTTTGCCCCGTGTGTCATAGAGGGACAGGTTAGTGGGAGTCTTCTGAAGCAATGATTAGACACCAAGTCCTCATACTCTAACCTATACTTTTTCCACACAAAACAGTGACAGCCACATCTATATGGAGGTACTGAATATCTGCTGCTAGGTGGGGCAACTTCAGTAATATCTTTATGGAGGTACTAAATATCTGCTGTTAGGTGGGGCAACTTCAGTAATATCTTTATGGAGGTATTTAACATCTGCTGCTATGTAGGGCAACTTCAGTAATATCTTTATGGAGGTATTGAATATCTGCTGCTAGGTGCGGCAACTTCAGTAATATCTTTAAGGAGGTATTGAATATCTGCTGCTATGTAGGGCAACTTCAGTAATATCTTGATGGAGGTATTGAATATCTGCTGCTATGTAGGGCAACTTCAGTAATATCTTTATGGAGGTACTGAATATCTGCTGCTAGGTGGGGCAACTTCAGTAATATCTTGATGTTGGTATTGAATATCTGCTGCTATGTAGGGCAACTTCAGTAATATCTATAAGGAGGTATTGAACATCTGCTGCTATGTAGGGCAACTTCAGTAATATCTTTACCGAGGTATTGTAAATCTGCTGCTATGTAGGGCAACTTCAGTAATATCTTGATGGAGGTATTGAATATCTGCTGCTATGTAGGGCAACTTCAGTAATATCTTTATGGAGGTACTGAATATCTGCTGCTAGGTGGGGCAACTTCAGTAATATCTTGATGGAGGTATTGAATATCTGCTGCTATGTAGGGCAACTTCAGTAATATCTTTAAGGAGGTATTGAACATCTGCTGCTATGTAGGGCAACTTCAGTAATATCTTTACCGAGGTATTGTAAATCTGCTGCTATGTAGGGCAACTTCAGTAATATCTTGATGGAGGTATTGAATATCTGCTGCTATGTAGGGTAACTTCAGTAATATCTTTACCAAGGTATTAAATATCTGCTGCTATGTAGGGCAACTTCAGAAATATCTTTACCGAGGTATTGAATATCTGCTGCTATGTAGGGCAACTTCAGTAATATCTTTATGGGGGTACTGAATATCTGCTGTTATGTAGGGCAACTTCAGTAATATCTTTATGGAGGTATTGAATATCTGCTGCTAGGTGGGGCAATTCAGTAATATCTTTACCGAGGTATTAAATATCTGCTGCTATGTAGGGCAACTTCAGTAATATCTTTATGGAGGCACTGAATATCTGCTGCTATGTAGGGTAACTTCAGTAATATCTTTACGGAGGTATTGAATATCTGCTGTTATGTAGGGCAACTTCAGTGATATCTTTACCGGGGTATTGATTATCTGCTGCTATGTAGGGCAACTTCAGTAATATCTTTAAGGAGGTATTTAACATCTGCTGCTATGTAGGGCAACTTCAGTAATATCTTTATGGAGGTATTTGACATCTGCTGCTATGTAGGGCAACTTCAGTAATATCTTGATGGAGGCACTGAATATCTGCTGCTTTGTAGGGCAACTTCAGTAATTTCTTTAAGGAGGTATTTAACATCTGCTGATATGTAGGGCAACTTCAGTAATATCTTTATGGAGGTATTTAACATCTGCTGCTATGTAGGGCAACTTCAGTAATATCTTTATTGAGGTATTGAATATCTGCTGCTAGGTGGGGCAACTTCAGTAATATCTTTAAGGAGGTATTTAACATCTGCTGCTATGTAGGGCAACTTCAGTAATATCTTAATGGAGGCACTGAATATCTGCTGCTGGTGGGGCAACTTCAGTAATATCTTTACCGAGGTATTGAAAATCTGCTGCTATGTAGGGCAACTTCAGTAATATCTTTACGGAGGTAATGAATATCTGCTGCTATGTAGGGCGACTTCAGTAATATCTTTATTGATGTATTGAATATCTGCTGCTATGTAGGGCAACTTCAGTAATATCTTTATGGAGGTATTGAATATCTGCTGCTATGTAGGGCGACTTCTGTAATATCTTTATGGAGGTATTGAATATCTGCTGCTATGTAGGGCGACTTCTGTAATATCTTTAAGGAGGTATTGAATATCTGCTGCTAGGGGGGGCAACTTCAGTAATATCTTTATTGAGGTATTGAATATCTGCTGCTAGGTGGGGCAACTTCAGTAATATCTTTAAGGAGGTATTTAACATCTGCTGCTATGTAGGGCAACTTCAGTAATATCTTAATGGAGGCACTGAATATCTGCTGCTAGGTGGGGCAACTTCAGTAATATCTTTACCGAGGTATTGAAAATCTGCTGCTATGTAGGGCAACTTCAGTAATATCTTTACAGAGGTAATGAATATCTGCTGCTATGTAGGGCGACTTCAGTAATATCTTTATTGATGTATTGAATATCTGCTGCTATGTACGGCAACTTCAGTAATATCTTTACGGAGGTATTGAATATCTGCTGCTATGTAGGGCGACTTCTGTAATATCTTTATGGAGGTATTGAATATCTGCTGCTATGTAGGGCGACTTCTGTAATATCTTTAAGGAGGTATTGAATATCTGCTGCTAGTGGGGGCAACTTCAGTAATATCTTTATGGAGGTATTGAATATCTGCTGCTATGTAGGGCGACTTCTGGTAATATCTTTATGGAGGTATTGAATATCTGCTGCTATGTAGGGCAGCTTCAGTAATATCTTTATGGAGGTATTGAATATCTGCTACTAGGGGGGGCAACTTCAGTAATATCTTTACGGAGGTATTTAATATCTGCTGCTATGTAGGGCGACTTCTGTAATATCTTTATGGAGGTATTGAATATCTGCTGCTATGTAGGGCAACTTCAGTAATATCTTTATGGAGGTATTGAATATCTGCTGCTAGGGACAGCTTCCGTAATATCTTTACCATGGTATTGCCTGGTGAATATGCCCATGGAATGATGCCATGTCAATATCTTCACTATTCTACCCCTGAACCATGTGGAGAAATCTAAGCAGGAAATGAGGCTTACACTTCAGGATCAACAAAACATTACTGACAAACAGAAACAACATTTGCATATAAAATAAAGTTTTATTATCAAATCAAGCACTAAATCTTTCATCACATACTGGAAAACCTTTCTTATTATCTAAACTGACACTTTTGCCATATCATATATATGCAAATAGCATGTTCAATTTATTATTATCATGATTATCACTAACTTAGCAAATATCCCCTGGTACATCATGTCAGATGTACTACTAGTTGACATGCCAGACTGTTATCCATCGTCTCCTGCAAGGACACAGAATCAGTATGTCTGAAGGGCTGAGAATATGAGGGACTGACACTCAGACTGTTATCCATTGTCTCCTGCAAGGACACAGAATCAGTATGTCTGAAGGGCTGAGAAGATGAGGGACTGACACTCAGACTGTTATCCATCGTCTCCTGCAAGGACACAGAATCAGTATGTCTGAAGGGCTGAGAAGATGAGGGACTGACACTCAGACTGTTATCCATTGTCTCCTGCAAGGACACAGAATCAGTATGTCTGAAGGGCTGAGAAGATGAGGGACTGACACTCAGACTGTTATCCATCGTCTCCTACAAGGACACAGAATCAGTATGTCTGAAGGGCTGAGAAGATGAGGGACTGACACTCAGACTGTTATCCATTGTCTCCTGCAAGGACAGAGAATCATTATGTCTGAAGGGCTGAGATTATGAGGGACTGACACTCAGACTGTTATCCATTGTCTCCTGCAAGGACACAGAATCAGTATGTCTGAAGGGCTGAGAATATGAGGAACAGACATTTTGTCATGACCAAAGTGTTCCACTTTTAAGCTCCACTTTTTTCACTCGATTGGAAGTCAGTTTGTATGATGGTGTTCAATGAATGATTACGCAATTTACATCTAGTTGGAACAAGCAGTTACTATAGTTACATGAGACAAGTTGCGTTGATTGCAGTTGGAAGACTCAGATGATAAAATGGCAAAGGCAATGCAGCCTACCCCCACTGTACACAGACTTCTGACGGACATAAGCTTGTTTGTTGTAGTGGAGTAGCAGGTCCTGACTTGGTCTCCCAGGCCGGGACACCACTCAAACACTATCACCAGACTCAACTGATCAAAGGGAGATAGGCATATACTTTTGAGTAGTTGATACACTGGCCACACATTTCTCTTCATAATATTCACTTGTATATCAAATATGAGGATGGATAGTACACATCAGAAATAGACTACAGAGTGTGCAGCCACTGATGGGACAAGGGAGAGCACTGATGTTTGTCTGGAGACATTGAGAGTATTGTTTCCAGGACCTATTGAGAGGTGAGAGCATCAGTCTCCACCTCAGTGACACCCTGCTGCCCTCCAGGACCTAGGGAGAGGTGAGAGCATCAGTCTCCACCTCAGTGACCCACCCTGCTGCCCTCCAGGACCTATTGAGAGGTGAGAGCATCAGTCTCCACCTCAGTGACACCCTGCTGCCCTCCAGGACCTATTGAGAGGTGAGAGCATCAGTCTCCACCTCTGTGACACCCTGCTGCCCTCCAGGACCTATTGAGAGGTGAGAGCATCAGTCTCCACCTCTTTGACCCACCCTGCTGCCCTGCAGGACCTAGGGAGAGGTGAGAGCATCAGTCTCCACCTCTGTGACCCACCCTGCCGCCCTGCAGGACCTATTGAGAGGTGAGATCATCAGTCTCCACCTCTGTGACACACCCTGCTGCCCTGCAGGACCTAGTGGGAGGTGAGAGCATCAGTCTCCACCTCTGTGACCCACCCTGCTGCCCTGCAGGACCTATTGAGAGGTGAGATCATCAGTCTCCACCTCTGTGACCCACCCTGCTGCCCTGCAGGACCTATTGAGAGGTGAGAGCATCAGTCTCCACCTCTGTGACCCACCCTGCTGCCCTGCAGGACCTAGGGGGAGGTGAGAGCATCAGTCTCCACCTCTGTGACCCACCCTGCTGCCCTGCAGGACCTAGGGGGAGGTGAGAGCAACAGTCTCCACCTCTGTGACCCACCCTGCTGCCCTGCAGGACCTAGGGAGAGGTGAGAGCATCAGTCTCCACCTCTGTGACCCACCCTGCTGCCCTGCAGGACCTAGGGGGAGATGAGAGCATCAGTCTCCACCTCTGTGACCCACCCTGCTGCCCTGCAGGACCTAGGGGGAGATGAGAGCATCAGTCTCCACCTCTGTGACCCACCCTGCTGCCCTGCAGGACCTAGGGAGAGGTGAGAGCATCAGTCTCCACCTCTGTGACCCACCCTGCTGCCCTGCAGGACCTAGGGAGAGGTGAGAGCATCAGTCTCCACCTCAGTGACCCACCCTGCTGCCCTCCAGGACCTAGGGAGAGGTGAGAGCATCAGTCTCCACCTCTGTGACCCACCCTGCTGCCCTCCAGGACCTAGGGAGAGGTGAGAGCATCAGTCTCCACCTCTGTGACCCACCCTGCTGCCCTCCAGGACCTAGGGAGAGGTGAGAGCATCAGTCTCCACCTCTGTGACCCACCCTGCTGCCCTCCAGGACCTAGGGAGAGGTGAGAGCATCAGTCTCCACCTCTGTGACCCACCCTGCTGCCCTGCAGGACCTAGGGAGAGGTGAGAGCATCAGTCTCCACCTCTGTGACCCACCCTGCTGCCCTGCAGGACCTAGGGGGAGGTGAGAGCATCAGTCTCCACCTCTGTGACCCACCCTGCTGCCCTGCAGGACCTAGGGGGAGGTGAGAGCATCAGTCTCCACCTCTGTGACCCACCCTGCTGCCCTGCAGGACCTAGGGAGAGGTGAGAGCATCAGTCTCCACCTCTGTGACCTACCCTGCTGCCCTGCAGGACCTAGGGGGAGGTGAGAGCATCAGTCTCCACCTCTGTGACCCACCCTGCTGCCCTGCAGGACCTATGGGGAGGTGAGAGCATCAGTCTCCACCTCTGTGACCCACCCTGCTGCCCTGCAGGACCTAGGGGGAGGTGAGAGCATCAGTCTCCACCTCTGTGACCCACCCTGCTGCCCTGCAGGACCTAGGGGGAGGTGAGAGCATCAGTCTCCACCTCTGTGACCCACCCTGCTGCCCTCCAGGACCTAGGGAGAGGTGAGAGCATCAGTCTCCACCTCTGTGACCCACCCTGCTGCCCTCCAGGACCTATTGAGAGGTGAGAGCATCAGTCTCCACCTCTGTGACCCACCCTGCTGCCCTGCAGGACCTATTGAGAGGTGAGAGCATCAGTCTCCACCTCTGTGACCCACCCTGCTGCCCTGCAGGACCTAGGGGGAGATGAGAGCATCAGTCTCCACCTCTGTGACCCACCCTGCTGCCCTGCAGGACCTAGGGGGAGATGAGAGCATCAGTCTCCACCTCTGTGACCCACCCTGCTGCCCTCCAGGACCTAGGGAGAGGTGAGAGCATCAGTCTCCACCTCTGTGACCCACCCTGCTGCCCTGCAGGACCTAGGGAGAGGTGAGAGCATCAGTCTCCACCTCTGTGACCCACCCTGCTGCCCTCCAGGACCTAGGGAGAGGTGAGAGCATCAGTCTCCACCTCTGTGACCCACCCTGCTGCCCTCCAGGACCTAGGGAGAGGTGAGAGCATCAGTCTCCACCTCTGTGACCCACCCTGCTGCCCTGCAGGACCTATTGAGAGGTGAGAGCATTAGTCTCCACCTCTGTGACCCACCCTGCTGCCCTGCAGGACCTAGGGTGAGGTGAGAGCATCAGTCTCCACCTCTGTGACCCACCCTGCTGCCCTGCAGGACCTAGGGGGAGGTGAGAGCATCAGTCTCCATCTCTGTGACCCACCCTGCTGCCCTCCAGGACCTAGGGAGAGGTGAGAGCATCAGTCTCCACCTCTGTGACCCACCTTGCTGCCCTGCAGGACCTATTGAGAGGTGAGAGCATCAGTCTCCACCTCTTTGACCCACCCTGCTGCCCTCCAGGACCTAGGGAGAGGTGAGAGCATCAGTCTCCACCTCTGTGACCTACCCTGCTGCCCTGCAGGACCTAGGGGGAGGTGAGAGCATCAGTCTCCACCTCTGTGACCCACCCTGCTGCCCTGCAGGACCTAGGGGGAGGTGAGAGCATCAGTCTCCACCTCTGTGACCCACCCTGCTGCCCTGCAGGACCTAGGGGGAGGTGAGAGCATCAGTCTCCACCTCTGTGACCCACCCTGCTGCCCTCCAGGACCTAGGGAGAGGTGAGAGCATCAGTCTCCACCTCTGTGACCCACCCTGCTGCCCTGCAGGACCTATTGAGAGGTGAGAGCATCAGTCTCCACCTCTGTGACCCACCCTGCTGCCCTGCAGGACCTAGGGAGAGGTGAGAGCATCAGTCTCCACCTCTGTGACCCACCCTGCTGCCCTGCAGGACCTAGGGAGAGGTGAGAGCATCAGTCTCCACCTCTGTGACCCACCCTGCTGCCCTGCAGGACCTAGGGTGAGGTGAGAGCATCAGTCTCCACCTCTGTGACCCACCCTGCTGCCCTGCAGGACCTAGGGGGAGGTGAGAGCATCAGTCTCCACCTCTGTGACCCACCCTGCTGCCCTCCAGGACCTAGGGAGAGGTGAGAGCATCAGTCTCCACCTCTGTGACCCACCCTGCTGCCCTGCAGGACCTATTGAGAGGTGAGAGCATCAGTCTCCACCTCTGTGACCCACCCTGCTGCCCTCCAGGACCTAGGGAGAGGTGAGAGCATCAGTCTCCACCTCTGTGACCTACCCTGCTGCCCTGCAGGACCTAGGGGGAGGTGAGAGCATCAGTCTCCACCTCTGTGACCCACCCTGCTGCCCTGCAGGACCTAGGGGGAGGTGAGAGCATCAGTCTCCACCTCTGTGACCCACCCTGCTGCCCTCCAGGACCTAGGGAGAGGTGAGATCATCAGTCTCCACCACCACTGCGGCCCACCCTGCTGCCCTCTTGGGCCATGTCCTCCTCCTCTTTTAACTTGTCCTTGACCTCTTCCTCGTCAATGTCGACCTCTGACCTCTCCATCAAGATAAAGGACAGAGGAGAGTCAGGATACTCCGGCCAGGTGAGAAGTGACTGAAAATAAATTACTCATATTTAGCACATGCCCAGATCATAAGTGAATAGAGACATCAGATCTCACGAAAACAGAACCCCTAAATTAGGCCTTCTTACACAAAGTAGTAAATTCAAATCCATGTAGTGGATAATAGAGATGTCCATTCACTTCCACGTCTTTGAAGAACCCTACTGTCAGTCATTGACTTCATAAAGTCCAGGGTCTAGATTTTTGAAACGATCGTAGTCCTAAAATTATCGTAAAGTTATCTTTAGAAAAATGGAAGGTTATCGTAGCCTTCCAATCGAAACTATCATAGCCCTAAGATATCTTAAGTTTGTCGTAAAACTAAGATAGCCCCATACCTGTTGTAAGTTTATTTTATCTTCATCCATGATGGCAGCATACTTTGCCATAGTCAATAGCTTAAAATATATTTCTATCCAAGTCCATGCTGAAGAAGTGTGAAACAACATAATTTGTTAAATAAATGGAAGGTGTCAGCAGGCTATAGTAATGACTGTGATCTTATTGATAACTCAGGGGCAGCTAATCTTAGTTCACACTCTAGTTGAGAGTGGTTTCCCTTTGAATTCGCCTGGTGAGACTTTGTTCAATGTTACAGTTTTCATAAAGCGCAGAGTTCCGCTGTTATATTTTCTGGATCGCATGTGAACAATGCTTTAGTCTTTATTTTCACATTTTATAAAATTATATCAATCTACAAATGTAAAAAAACCATAAAGGTTTCGCACCAGTTTTTACATCTAAAATTGTGTTGGACCAGCGGTTTTAACAATTTGAATTTTAACTATACAGTGTAGTATTTATTGACTTAACAAGGAAATACATGTGATCAAATGTATTTGTATAGTATGTTTAATATTTTTCTAGCAAAAGCTATTGTATTTTGTTTCGTTTAAAATACAATATGTAGGTTATCTATACAAATATTTGATAACAAGTGATTAAAAACTGTCTGTTGAACAATTGCATTCTTTAAATACAGGTGATTAACGGCATACAGATGTATTCCATCATATATAACAATTTATAGAAATTTTTTACATCAAAAGTTAAGCACAGCTTTTCGTATAAAAAATCAAACAAAAAATGAGTTCCCATACTCGTTTGGGCTTAAAATGTTGTCAAAAAGTAGCATAGTTAAAAATTCACTTTTCATCATATGTTTGCAGAAAACGTTTATTGAATGAAATTTACTGATCAATATAAAATAAACATTTTCTTTAAATGTTAAATTCAATAAACCAAATTTAAAACAATAATTGATTTTGGCCTTTTTAATATTTAAGTGTGCATCTACCCGTTTTACGTTTTAAAAAAATATAGATACTTAAGACATTCAGACAATAACATCGTTGTAAAGTATCATTTAACTACGTTCTGGAAGAGATATGACACATATACAATGTATTTCGCTCCTCAGCCAGGTTTTATGAAATCGGACAAATCAGTTTATTAGCTCGACTTAATTTAAAAGGATAGAAAAGGACTACATTGTATGTATGTTCACGTTAACTTGTGGCATGTTCCATGAGACGACTTGACAATTCCTAAATTATCTCTCTTTGCGAATACAAATTAGTGTCACTTTCAAATTTTGAAAAGAATTATGGATCTAGATAGACCCAGAATACATCACATAACATCAGACTTGAACATGCATCTTAAATGCTGTTCAATCAAAGGTCTCGCCTAGTCATTGTCATTTTAAAAAACGTCTCTTACTTTTGTCCTTGACTTTGTACGCAATGTGTTCACATAAAGTTCTGCACGCTTGCGAGAGAACCTTGAAAAATGTCTTTGCATAGCACACGAGTGCTATTTGTGTTCGGGTAGTCATGGCATCTGTTAATGATAAGAACAAAACGTCTACATGTAGGACATATGTAGGATTGTACGGAATATCACTCAAATAGTTGCGTGTTAAACAATGTGACCTGACAATGCGATCATTAATTCCGTGTCACTTCTTCATGTTGTTGTTATTGTCTGCGGCTGGGAAATCCCTGCGACGTCATTGGGAAAGACCCTGTTTTTTCAATCTCTAACACAAATGAGTTCTCTGTCAGAGATACAATAGCTATCATATCTTTGTGCGATCTGTGACAGGTTTACCATAGTTTTGATGTGCCCTGATGCATTCCAGATGTTCATTTCTTAACCATGCCTACCCACAACTCAAGCGACATGTGAACTACACTGCCAAGTGTTCTCTGCCTGACAACTCAAGTGACATGTGAACTACACTGCCAAGTGTTCTCTGCCTGACAACTCAAGTGACATGTGAACTACACTGCCAAGTGTTCTCTGCCTGACAACTCAAGTGACATGTGAACTACACTGCCAAGTGTTCTCTGCCTGACAACACAAGTGACATGTGAACTACACTGCCAAGTGTTCTCTGCCTGACAACACAAGTGACATGTGAACTACACTGCCAAGTGTTCTCTGCTTGACAACTCAAGTGACATGTGAACTACACTGCCAAGTGTTCTCTGCCTGACAACTCAAGTGACATGTGAACTACACTGCCAAGTGTTCTCTGCCTGACAACTCAAGCGACATGTGAACTACACTGCCAAGTGTTCTCTGCCTGACAACTCAAGTGACATGTGAACTACACTGCCAAGTGTTCTCTGCCTGACAACTCAAGTAACATGTGAACTACACTGCCAAGTGTTCTCTGCCTGACAACTCAAGTGACATGTGAACTACTCTGCCAAGTGTTCTCTGCCTTACAATTCAAGTGACATGTGAACTACACTGCCAAGTGTTCTCTCCCTGACAACTCAAGTGACATGTGAACTACACTGCCAAGTGTTCTCTGCCTGACAACTCAAGCGACATGTGAACTACACTGCCAAGTGTTCTCTGCCTGACAACTCAAGTGACATGTGAACTACACTGCCAAGTGTTCTCTGCCTGACAACTCAAGTAACATGTGAACTACACTGCCAAGTGTTCTCTGCCTGACAACTCAAGTGACATGTGAACTACTCTGCCAAGTGTTCTCTGCCTGACAATTCAAGTGACATGTGAACTACACTGCCAAGTGTTCTCTGCCTGACAACTCAAGTGACATGTGAACTACACTGCCAAGTGTTCTCTGCCTGACAACACAAGTGACATGTGAACTACACTGCCAAGTGTTCTCTGCCTGACAACTCAAGTGACATGTGAACTACACTGCCAAGTGTTCTCTGCCTGACAACTCAAGTGACATGTGAACTACTCTGCCAAGTGTTCTCTGCCTGACAACTCAAGTGACATGTGAACTACACTGCCAAGTGTTCTCTGCCTGACAACTCAAGTGACATGTGAACTACACTGCCAAGTGTTCTCTGCCTGACAACTCAAGTGACATGCGAACTACTCTGCCAAGTGTTCTCTACCTGACAACTCAAGCGACATGTGAACTACACTGCCAAGTGTTCTCTGCCTGACAACTCAAGTGACATGTGAACTACTCTGCCAAGTGTTCTCTGCCTGACAACTCAAGTGACATGTGAACTACACTGCCAAGTGTTCTCTGCCTGACAACACAAGTAACATGTGAACTACACTGCTCAGTGTTCTCTGCCTGACAACTCAAGTGACATGTGAACTACACTGCCAAGTGTTCTCTGCCTGACAACTCAAGTGACATGTGAACTACTCTGCCAAGTGTTCTCTGCCTGACAACTCAAGTGACATGTGAACTACACTGCCAAGTGTTCTCTGCCTGACAACTCAAGTAACATGTGAACTACACTGCTCAGTGTTCTCTGCCTGACAACTCAAGTGACATGTGAACTACACTGCCAAGTGTTCTCTACCTGACAACTCAAGTGACATGTGAACTACACTGCTCAGTGTTCTCTGCCTGACAACTCAAGTGACATGTGAACTACACTGCTCAGTGTTCTCTACCTGACAACTCAAGTAACATGTGAACTACACTGCTCAGTGTTCTCTGCCTGACAACTCAAGTGACATGTGAACTACACTGCTCAGTGTTCTCTACCTGACAACTCAAGTGACATGTGAACTAAACTGCCAAGTGTTCTCTACCTGACAACTCAAGTGACATGTGAACTACACTGCCAAGTGTTCTCTGCCTGACAACTCAAGTGACATGTGAACTACACTGCCAAGTGTTCTCTGCTTGACAACTCAAGTAACATGTGAACTACACTGCTCAGTGTTCTCTGCCTGACAACTCAAGTGACATGTGAACTACACTGCCAAGTGTTCTCTGCCTGACAACTCAAGTGACATGTGAACTACTCTGCCAAGTGTTCTCTGCCTGACAACTCAAGTGACATGTGAACTACACTGCCAAGTGTTCTCTGCCTGACAACTCAAGTAACATGTGAACTACACTGCTCAGTGTTCTCTGCCTGACAACTCAAGTGACATGTGAACTACACTGCCAAGTGTTCTCTACCTGACAACTCAAGTGACATGTGAACTACACTGCTCAGTGTTCTCTGCCTGACAACTCAAGTGACATGTGAACTACACTGCTCAGTGTTCTCTACCTGACAACTCAAGTAACATGTGAACTACACTGCTCAGTGTTCTCTGCCTGACAACTCAAGTGACATGTGAACTACACTGCTCAGTGTTCTCTACCTGACAACTCAAGTGACATGTGAACTAAACTGCCAAGTGTTCTCTACCTGACAACTCAAGTGACATGTGAACTACACTGCCAAGTGTTCTCTGCCTGACAACTCAAGTGACATGTGAACTACACTGCCAAGTGTTCTCTGCCTGACAACTCAAGTGACATGTGAACTACACTGCCAAGTGTTCTCTACCTGACAACTCAAGTGACATGTGAACTACACTGCCAAGTGTTCTCTGCCTGACAACTCAAGTGACATGTGAACTACACTGCCAAGTGTTCTCTGCCTGACAACTCAAGTGACATGTGAACTAAACTGCCAAGTGTTCTCTGCCTGACAACTCAAGTGACATGTGAACTACACTGCCAAGTGTTCTCTACCTG